TCAGCCAGTTTTGTTGAAAGCAATTCTCTCCAACCATGCCATGCAGGCACCGGATGACCCCAAGAGTACCACATCCCCACCCACCCCTCCAGGTGGGAAGCAGAGGCTTTGGGAGCGAAGGGAGACAAACTGTAAATTCACGTGTGCATAGCTGGACTTCTGAGGCATGGGGATTTGCTGGAGCTGGGGCCAGAATGAGTGAGTTGTGCTAGAGTCTATCAGATTTGTGAAGTACAGATGTGATAATACCGCTGCAACCACAAAAGAATTTACAACAGGAAGCACTGCAGCTGTTGCTTATTAGCATTAGTACAAATTACACAAAGCAAATTGTTAGCAGATATGTTTCCATAATATTTAACTCATGGCACTGAATAAAAGTGATTCCTTTTTAAGCAAAATTTTAGATTTCCAAGGGAATCAGTTTCCAATTGTCCATGAAGGGAGCGTGGATTAGAGAGCAGCATGCAACTATTGCAAGGCATCAGAGGCAATATGTGCAGCCACTTGCCTGCGTTCTCTGGTGAAGGTGTGCGAATTTGGGACCATATTTCTTGGTCAGAGAAGGAAAATCTGTATGGTTCCATATGACCCAATTACCAGCAATGGGGAGCGATGGTGCGTGGGCCCTGTCCTGGAGCTGCTGCAGCAAGGTTCTGTGCACAGAAGTGCTTGGAAAGGGAGGGAGGCTCTTGCTGACCTGCCATTTCCCTGAATTTTTGCCCCCAAAATGCTTATTATGACTCATTTCCCTAGCAACCCCAAGCCTGTTGATGTGGAAGGAGCCCACACCAGCAGAACAATCCCCTATCACAAAGTCAAGAGGGTGGCTTTGGAGACAAAATCCACACAGCAACAGACTGAACGTGCAGACTGAAATGCTGGGATGCAACCTATGAACAACTGACACCAAAATCGTTTGGACCAAAACCCTGGGCTTGACGCCTCTCTCCAGCCAAACCAGTTTCAAACTAGGGTAGCAGCTGGTTTTGATCCTGCCATCCCTGCAGCCTATTTAGGCACTTGCTCTGCCTTTCTCCTTACCCCATGGGGAAGAGATGAGCAACCGGCCCTGGGGATGGAGGCTGCAGTTCAGAGAAGGAGAGAGACCAAACAGCATTTAATTTTCATTAATAAAAGTGAGACATTTAATTCTCACCTCCCTCCCTGGTGCCAGGGCAGGACCAGCTGAATCCTGGAGGATGTCAGACACTAGAGATGCTCCTCTGTGAGTTTCTGGAGGGGCCTGGGGCAATGTCCCTCCTGATGTCTTTTTCCAAGTAGAAGCCAGTCAAAGGAAAAGAGAGAGAGAAGGAAAAAAGAAAAGAAGGCACTAACTAATTAACTGAATGTTTTGGGGTATGATTTGGAGAGGAAAGAGCTGACAGATTCCTCCCTGAGCTCACTCAGCCCCCGGACAGTGCATCTAGGGAAGGGGAGAGCACCGCAGCTCACAGGCAGAAAGGGGTCATGAGGTGGCTGTGCCAAGGCGAGGAAAGGCCATGGCGGCTGATGGAGTCAGGGCCAGGCGTTGGAGCCACTCTCTCTCTATAGCCATACACCTGCTCCCACGCTGTCCTTTTGTCCTGCCTTGCCCGAGCGGCACTGGTTGAACCAGAGGATGGTTTGGGCTCCTGCCACTAATCCACAGAGGCAGCTTTTCATGCCAAAGCTTCATTAGCCATTTTCTTTTCATTTTGCTGATTATTGCTGCTTTTGCTAATAATGATCTACTTAGGCTCTTATAGCCATCCTGCCTTTAAGAAGGAAAGAAGTGTAACTCATGAAGACTACTGAAAACCTATAGAACTTCAGCGATTGGTTTAAGAGCAGTAACAGCCCAGAGTGATGCTTTACGTGCCAGTCCCAAGGGTGCCTGCCTGCATTAATCACGTTGAGCGAAGCTGCTAATGCTGCAAAGGCCACTGCGCTACTCAGCCTGCCGAGCAAAGCAGTGGGCTCAGAGGGGTGGAGGCATTCCCACCAGCATTTCTTGAAACCCAGGTAGGTCTGGATGAGGAAGGAGGCATTTGTCGGTGTGAGAGAAGAGGCCATGGCAGCAGGTGGGTAATGGAGAAGCAGCTGAAGTGCGTGTTCTGGCTCTGTAGTGCTGCTTATGAGGAAATGGCCTGACACCCTCAACACAGCAGAGCTGCTTAACTACCCTCACAGACAAGGCTTGAAAGAGAAAAAAGAGTTATAATTACAATATTACTGCAGTTATGTTTGCCCCCTAATTGCCTTTCAGTGAAAAAAAATCTATGCCAGGGCAGAATTTTTGTTATAAGCATTACTTACATGTAAAATTAATCCACTAACTGCCTCCCCTGTAATAACAGAAGTGTCATGGCCTGGGACAGTCCTGTCGTACCTACAGGTATCAAATGAGATAGCACCACTGACTGTACACTTCAGACAGATACATGAAAACTATGTCAACATATTAAATGTAGGAGCATCATTGCCACTAAGGAGTCTATAGATACTGCCTTGGTAGTATCAGCCCTCTGAGCTGTAACGTCTGGAACAGAGCAGGTGGAGGGAAGGGGTGAGACACGGAGCTGAACGGGAAGGATTCTTGCTGGGGAAAGTTTGTAGTTGTGGGGCTCTTTTTTCCCACTCTCAGAACAAAATGTGAGGTTACAGATTCACCAGAAAAATACAATAAGATGCAAAAATCTTCTTGGAACAAAAATGTTCCATTTCCAAAATGTCAAAATGATGTTTTGACATTACCAAAAGCTGTAGTCCCAGTTACATAGAATTTACATTAGAAAGTGACATGCTTTTATGAAGGGTTTTGATTTTGACAAAGTGGAATTTTGCAGCATTGAAGCCACTTGATAATTTCTAAGCAGCTCTGACTACTGATATACTACAACCAGGTAAGGTTCTAAGTGGAGGAATTAAATTCACCTTTTGAAAAAAAGAGAAGTTAACTAAGTTCAGAATTATGGAGGAACAAAAAAAAAAGTTTGAGGACTCTCTGAAGGTGACATTACTAATACAGCAAGATTTTTACATATTTTGGGGATCTTTATGGGGTGAAGATTAATTTTTTAAAAGATGTAAGAATGAAAAATGAACTGTACAGGTTTGGCATTGATGTGAAGTCACCTCTGCCTCAACCACAGACAGCTGAACAGATTTCCATTCTCTACACCATGGATGCAAAGGGATGTGCACAGGTGTTACCTTTCAAGCATCAGCATGTTTAGGGTTCAGTATATTACATCACTGGATTGTATATGACTTTTCATTTAACACACTTGTTCAGCTATCCCTGTGAAAGGTGTTTCAGCCCGCAGACAGGATTTGCTGAAAGCTGCTCAGTCCTGTAAAGATCCAACTCTGCAAATGTGTGCAGACAACTTTTTTAATTTGGGGGAGTAGTCCCAGGAGTTCAGTGAAAGTCTTGAGGGATATGGTTTCTAGTATTGTTAAGGATTTTCAGGACTAGGTCTTGAACCACTATCTTTTTGTAGAAGTTCTAGTCTAGCAACATGCATTAAGTTGAATTTTATTCCATGAGGTAATTTTGGTAATATTTTGTTCTGCGTAACCACGGTCGGACAGTATGGCATCTTGCATTTTGTCAGGACCCCGTTTGTCAGTTCAGTTGAGGTGAGATCTAAAATCATCTGCATGACTTAAACACTTGCTACCACTCCTTGTCATGCACTAAACTGTATGGATGTGTCCCTTTGTCATCCTCCTTTGTGAAGGGTGAAAATGAGGGCACACTCACGCCACAAATTACCTCCTCAGCCTGAGACCTGTCCTCTTTCACCTGGCTACATGACATATCAATGAGCACCTTTTGGATTTGTGTAAAAGGCAGAAGAGCATTATTTTTATTCCGCTTCAGATGGAAAGCACAGCACATCTGCAAATGTACCAAAAGCCACAGCACAGTCAGGAACCAAGCCTGCAGCAACCGTCGTTGCAAAGTGCAGAGCTGTGCCCTGCCTTGCCAGCCCCACCCGGAGAATGAATGTTCCCGCCCGGCTCCCTCGCTTTTCAAAAACGCAGACAAAACCAAACCCAGAAATTCTGCATTTCCTTAGAGCGACACAAACTGCTCGCCAGACAGAAACGGCTCAGGGAAGGGAGCTGACAGCTGAGCACGCCAGACACCGTGGGAGCCATCCACCCCCTCCTCGGCGTGACAGGAAACATCCTGTCAGAAACACTCTGCGTTTGGGCTTTTCTTGAATTCATTATCTGCAAACGGTGACGGGCTTATCCTGCCGGGAGCCTGCGATTCCTTGTCGGTGTTTATAGATGTGCTCGATAGGACAGTCGTGATGGTCAACACTCATCAGACAGAAAGCACTCATCAGAGCTCCAGCCTCATGTATATTAGGGCTGCTCCCTCTAGTGGCAAAAAGTACTTTAGCTGCAAAACCCCCACTTTTTCCCCCCTATTTTATTTTTAAAAAAACCCAACTTTTTTCTTTTTTTCTTTTTTCTTTTTTTTTTTTTTAACTGAAGAATTCAAGTTTTCCAGATAGTGCAAGACATGGGGCAGTTCGCGTCAGACGACACGTGACCAAACGCCGTGCTTTTCCAGCCCTTGAGCGTCGATGGTGGAGCTGGAGTCCAGCCGACGCAGGCCAGCGGTCACTTCTCTGAGGCAGACCTGTGTCAAGCCAGGAACTCTGAGTCAGTCTACCAGCAGTCCTCAGCGTATGCCGTAGTCGTGTTTGGTTTTGATTTCCCACTTCTGATTACAAAAATAGGACTTACTATAATCATAATAATGATGCAAAAGAATTACTGTAATCATATACTTTTTGGCAAATTATTAACACAAAGCAGCCCAAAAGACCCCACTGGATTAAAAAAAGGTGACGATGCTCAAATGTTAAAAAAGACAAAGTCTTTGTTAAAAAAGAAGGAAAAACAATCTGCAAATGAATGCATTTCCGTAAGGCAACATGTTACCTTTAGTTTTCCGTCTAGATTTAGGTCAGGTTCTGTTGTTATTCAAGAAAACTTTAGAACTTGGCTTGCTTGAGCTTATCAATGTGGTAGCACAGTTTCAGCGCAGGTCCCAGTTTCAGCCCCAGGTATTTCATGATCATGTCACTTTTCAGCAGCAACAAAGCATTGCCATCAATCTCCTGGTTTCAAAAGAGAGGAGGAGAATCAAGTGTGTTAACCCCCCTCCAGTGCTGTGTCATGACACATTAAACAAGGTGAATCAGAAACAGAGCAGAGCTAGCTGAAATGTCATGCATTTTGAAATTTCATTAAAAACACTGAAATCTGACGTATGACAGAAGGAAACTCTAAAGGAGGGGTTAGTCAAATAGTACTTCTTATTTTTCAAGGAACAGTAAGGTTTGCCTAGTTTTTCAATTATTTTGGAATTAAAACATGAGAATTTGAGGAAAAAAAATCAGGGCTCCTCTAAGTCCAATTCTGAGAAAAGCCAATCAGCCTTGAGAGAAAGCAGTGAGTGATGGAGAGAGGAAGAGGGATGTGGCCCCAGCAATTGCTAATACTGCACCTCTGAATCTCAGCTCCAGCTTTTTCCCTGGCTATCTGCATGTTTCACATATCTCCAGTGCACTTATATCTGTTGAGTTATCTATAAAAATATATATATTTCTTTTTCTTAAATTGAATATAGTAGTAATTTGCTTATTTTATTGCATTTATTAAAAAATTTGTTCAAATTTCATTTAACCATCATGTAAGTGAAAGAAATTGCCACCAAGTTCATTTGTTTATCCCAGACCTGTTGGCTTGAAAGCCTTTTGAAATTACAAAGTGCAGTGCTGAGCACAAAGTAGTGTGGGTGCACAGAGAAACATGCTCTGTTTTACTGTAGAACAGAGGCTTTCAGCCACACTGTCCTTCCTTGGATCCTAAGCTTGTCTGCTTTTTCCTGACTACATTAATAAATCTGCCAAAAAGTACTACCCCTCTCCACAGTCATTACCACACTTACACACTTGGACCATTAGAGCCAAAATATAATTAGTGCTATGTGTGTGTGCATACATAAGTGTGTGTGCATACATGTGTGTATGTGTGTATATATACACATTTACACACACACACAAATGCTGTATATATTGTATTCTACCATTTTAATGGTCAGATCTTTGTTCTGTGATCTATTACCTACTAATTAAGCAATACTATGGATCCTAATTTGCCCGGATTATTATTATTCCATTCTGCAGGTGATTTAGGTGATGAGCAGTTAAGGTCACTTCCTAATTAACTCAATCAATTAATGCTCTTCATTCTGCAACCCCCACTCTATCCATAATAGAAAATCTATCCATAATAGAAAATCTCTTCACCCTCCCCCTCTGCTTCCCATTATTTTAAGGAAGCTAAGTGAAAGTAAGAATAAGTATTATGTGTCATTAATATTTGCATAAGAAAGAAAAACAAACTCCTGGAATTGTGATGCCATAGCATAAAAACACTGTCAATGGTTTGGTGCAGAGGCATCTGTTTCTAAATGTTGAGTTCAGCATTTTAGTATTTCCTGTATTATTACCATGCAGGGGTCAAAATTAAACTCCATGACAAGAGTATGCCAGAGGGAGCATTCATATCCAATTAAATATCTCATATTAGCCACGTCCCTGTGCAGACTGTTGGCTTGACTTCTCTACAGTATTACTGTGTCAGCTCTTTTAAAAACAATTTTAAATAGAAGGATTCTATAGCATGGTCCCCAAATCTGCAATAGCCCAACTAGAAGATCTTGAAACAAATCTGAAGCTGATAAAATTCAGTGCCATCAGCACAATTAGCTTCTTTCATACGAGTTGAGATCTGGCCCACTACAAGTTAGAACATTGCAGGAGATCACTGCCATTTTCCTGCAAGGAGACAGACACAGCAAACATCTGAGCTGCGAGGTCATGATACAGTAGGTATAAACATACAGCTTCCACCTGCAAAAATGAATATTGCTGTGTTTGTGCCGGCTCCGTGCAGCACTTGTTATGAGGATACTGTTCAAAAAGCAGAGCAGTCTCTAAACAAGCCCTGTGCTATGCAAACAAGAATTGGTCTCAGTGGTGGATGTCCCCAGGACGAGGCTTTTAATAAAGAAAGATGAAACTCCCCATCTTCATGATTGTTTAAGCACCTAATTCTGAGTAAAATCAAATACTTTAGGATCTATATCCCTACTTTTGTATTCTGCAGTCTTGTGAACAGCCACCAGCCTTGGTAAGGCCACAACCTGTGACAGGATTGCAGCAAATGGTCAGTGCTCAAACACTCAAGATGAGGAAGGTCTAAGGAAAGAGACATGCTCACAAGTTTGATGTCTAGCACTGGCAGAGACAGGTTGCTATTTGAATACACTGGATTAATTATGTTAAACTTAAAGATTTTTGTCTCCTGCAAATATGCACTTGCCAATCGATCATAATTAAACTGTCAGACCATAACATTGCTTCGATCCCTTCCAGCTTGAGTTTTCCAACCTGCTAATTCCCCATGCAACTCCTTCCCCTTCTCCATTTCCCTCCTCCAGTTTTTCTACCAAGTCTTTCTTGCTGAGATAGCACTGCACGAGGCTTTCATTTAGTGCCACTACAAGGTCCCTGGCAGGATGACAGCTCCTTTGCATGAGGCCAAAAGATCTATCATCTATGGACTCAGCTCTGCTTGGCACACAGCCTTGCCGAGGGAGCAGGGAGCAGCAGAGGTAGCAGGCAGTTTCATGGTCTTTGGTGGACACTCTCAGGAGCTGCCTGTGACAGAGCTCCTTGAGTGTCTTGCCAAGAAGAAAACCTTCTCCTCCTGGTGGGAAGAGCAGAGACAGAGCCAGGTCATCCCGCAATGCCTATTGCAGCAGTGGAGGATGTGGGCTGCACCTCCCTATTGCACACTGGGAGAGACAGCTCTGGGGACTGCGGTCAATCCCAAATGGCTCAACATAGCAGTAGGAAAGCACACTGCCCACATGCAGGATACCTCCCCCAGCCTTTTCTTCCCTGTGGTCCCACCACCCTATCCCTCCCAGTGTCATAGCTCAGATGAGTTGATTGCCAAAGCAACGATTTCAGGTGATAGCTGGGCTTTGCCAATGACAGTAAGTGCTTCTAAGTAAATTATGCACCTGCTTCATAGAAAGATTGAACATACAGGAAGATATGGCTAAGGTTAATGGACTAATCACTTGTCTCTCACCCCTGGGGTCTCCATGCTAATCCAGATGAGATTTGAAGGCTGAAAAATTGCAGGGACATATATAACTCAAAGGCGTAATTGAATTGAGTTGTGTGGTAGTCTTACCCAGATTCTCACACCTACAGCATATTTTACAAGGAAACCCATGATAAGTAGAGCCCATGGGTGCTGGGTGTTCAACAAAGGACAACAGGGAGAGTCTTTAGTGGCAATTTAGCTTGGTCTTTTTGGTCACAGAGCAGCTGTAGTATTGCAGCATGCTCCAGTGCAGCTGGCCCATGACTGCCTGGATCGTGTCACTACTCTGTTGCCAGGTAAAAGCACAATGTGCCATCCTGTGCTGCAAGTGGAAACTAGACAAAAATGGTGCTTTTGCACTGTCCATATTTGCAAGATGAACTTTAAACATTTCTTTTCTTTGGGATGTACCTGCATGCTTCAGACCATGGCAATTTTCTCTCCCTTGCATGAAGAGTTTTCTCTTGATGAGAAAACTCCATTTTCATTATTCATTTTCATAGCCAGACTGAATTGATCAAGGAGGGATGGAGGTGGAGGAGGCTGAAAATGCTATTAGATGCATTGGTGCCAACTCTATATACAGCAGCAGGACAAGAAACTCCAGATCTATGTGTTTACAGTCTTCCCTTTACTAATTAAGGACAATATCATTTCCCCAATGGAGATTGCCTAGCTAAAGCAACTATCATATTCTCCAGTGAGTCAGCAGGTCTGTTAAATTTGGTTATATAGTTACATAATACTGAGGGAAAAAAAGATTAAAAGGTTGGCTGTTTTGCGTTTCTCCTGCTAAATATCTAGAGACACATTAAAAATGCTCTTCAGAGAAGAATCATAGGTATCCTGGGAAAAAACTGTCATTGAGACGAGGCTTTTTTGTGTCAATGTGACAATGAAGAATGAGCACCAGGTACTCTGTGCCTTCTCTTAGGCTTGGCATAGAAACAATTTATGCTAGTTGGGAACAAATAGTGAGCATTTTCTAAAGACATTTTTAGGGTCTCCCCAATGAAGAATAAATAGAATAGACTATTTCAGTTGGAAGTGACCTACAGCAATCATCTAGTGCAACTGCCTGGCCACTTCAGGGCTGACCAAGTTAAAGCATGTTATAAAGGGCACAGTCCAAATGTCTTTTGAACACTGACAGGCTTGGGGCATCGACCATCCCTCCAGGTAGCCTGTTCCAGTGTTTGTGCACCCTCTTGGGTGATAAGCGAACACTGCTTCAACCCAAAGCCCCCAGCAGTGACCTGGGGGCTCAGACACTGCCTGTAGCAGCTAATTGCAGCTGAGGGGGTGTGTGAGATGCTATCTCGGGACTGCCCATGCACTTGGCCTAATCACCTAGAAGCGGTAAGGGCAGCCTTCTACATACGTGTTTTCTGAAGAGCTCCACGTGGGGACCTAAAGCATGAGGGTCTGCATCCTTCACAAACCAAACCACGTCATCCACCGTCCAGGTCAAAGGATTCTTGCTTGATGGCCGAGCCGTGTCTTGTTCTGTTGAAGGACTTGAGGCTATCAGTACAAAAAAGCCCACAACAGCGCGTTACAATGGCACGCAGCGGTTTCTGTGGTTTGTGAGGCTGCAGTGGTATGGCAGCCTCACTGCAGCATTAGATGCTGGATCTGCGTGTTCAAGTATCAGCCTGAGAGAGTGGGGCGAGGAGAGAAGGGGACTTGGAGCAGTTTCCAATCTGACTGCTTACCGGGAGACACGATCCCAGCTGGCGAATTGCGTTAAAAAACATGAAACCCTTGGGTTCCTGCTGGGAAAGGAAAAATGTGCCAGCTGCCAGGCTCTTAAACCGCGCTGCCCCTGCTGTCTGATCTGCAAGCAGCAGGGATCTTGGCTCCAGAAGACACCACCCTCCCACCTGGAGAGCAAGCACTTCAGCACTAAACAAAGGATTTTGCCATTGAATGCAAAGGCTAGAGGATAAAATCAGGATTTAGCAAATAGGCTTTTTTTTTTTCCTTTGCATTCAGATATTCAGACCTAGAGCTCAAATGAAGGTTTCCTCCTATTCTTAGGCTCTCATGAAGCGGATGGTCCCCAATGAACGCCTATTTGGAAAGCTACTAAAACACGCGAAGATGAACACTGCACATGTGACTTTTTAATGGTATAAGCCCTGGATGATTTAAACTCACTTCGGCTTGCTGTAGCTTTAAATCAAGTGAATAAAGGCACTTTGGAATGAAAGTGCATTTATGTTTTTATTCTTAGTCTCCACAGAATTATAATTCTCAGCCTCCATGTGAATATAATTTGCACCCCCACTTATGTTGCTTCACTATTACAAGAACTATATTATGCTAGGTTACAGGAAAGCTGTTTAAATTTGTTTAAATCCACACCAAGTAAACTTTGCATTAACAGGGGGGCAGCACACAGGTGTATAAAATGTTACTTGCCCAGACCCGCTCATCTCTTTTCGTGAAGGCCAAGTTTTTAATGAGAGGTGCAAATGATAAACAAGGAGGCACTACAGAAGACAGAAAAGGAAACAGAAGAGTGCAAGTAGAGGGAGACCACTGATACCTAAACTGGAGCCTGAAGAAGCCCCGAGAAGCCCCAAGAAGCCAAGAGGACAATCAGAGCTGCTGAAGAGAGAAGAGCTGAGCTCTCCAGAGGAATATTGAGCTTACAGAGGTTGATGACATTTATGAGAATCCCCATGCATGACACAAAACATGATCCTAACACATGTGAGCAAACATTGTGGGCTGGGTTTGGGGCTGATGTAGACTGTCATTCCATTGTCTTCAATAGGGCCATGCTGATTTATATTAGCTGAGGATCTGCCCATATATTCACAGTAACAGCTTTATGAGCATATCGGTCCTTTTTCTCTGGCTGCCATGCTCATCTTATGCTATAATGTAATGAGGTATGTTTTGCAGTTACAAAGGATGATCTCCAGTACGCAGCAGCACTATGAATGTGCAAATCTGGTCGACGGGCTTCATAATGGGATGTGATGTAAATATCATGATAATTGCACTCTCATTTGCTAAGTCACTGTTCTGGATATAAAGGACAAGGAATAGCTGCAGGTCCTCTTAATTAGACAGCGAGGATTGGTGTGCGTATGGACTCAGGTGACCCTGGGCTCCGCTCACAGAATAAATGCAATACACAACGGTACAGACACCATCTGGAGCCTTTGGCATGAAACGATGAAGACAAAGAGTGCAAAATGAGCAGGGTAATCTTGGCCAACTCCTGGATCATCAGTAACATCCACCAACTTTGTCAGGGACAAGTGGGAGAATCGAGACTTGTCTTGGAGGCAGATTTCTCCCCTACCTGATCTGCTGGTGGTCTGGGTGACAGCTGATGTGGGGAGATATTGGGCATCTTGGCACACAAACCAAAAGCAGGGAGAAAACCAGATTTTTGCTAGCCAGCTGGAAAAGAGAGGTGGGGGAGAGAAAGGTTTGGCCATGCCCAAAGGATTGCAGAAGTTTCTATGTGGTCAGGGAAGATGTGCCACTACTGAGGATCACATTTTTTCCCTTAAATTTGTATGGATGTAAGGAAAGCCCAAGGGACTTAGCCTGGGATTCACACCGGGCACAAAGAGAGCAGCTCCCGGCCCAGTGACCCCTGCCTGCCTTGCGCTGCTTCCAGAAATGCCAGGAAAGGGCAAAGGGGAACAGAGAGCCCCGAGAGCGGTTTGGAGCCTTCACAGGTATTGGAAATATCTGTGATAAAAGGAAGGGAGATGAGAAGAAAAGGTTGAAATGACAGAGGAATTCTATTCACTCCTTTGCAATCTAGCAATCAATAGCACAAATCTGATTTTTTTAAAGACAAATATATAAATGACCTTTCTAAAGAGATCACATGGCTAGAGCTTTTCAAGGCTCCAGCAGGTGAAGATAACCCTTTCAAATCCCTATCTGAGGTGTAATATAACAATAATAAAACAAGATTTATGCATAGATACTAACTCTTTGAAGATTTTTTGTCTTCATTTACCTACCTAGAGACAAATCCTTGATTTTCTGCTGCTTTTTTATGAATTAAGGTGTCTTATTTTACTTTTGTGTTAGGGGCTACCTTTAAATGTTGTTAGTAAAACTGGGATATCATCAGCTTGCAGACAAATGTCTTGAATGCAGTTCGTAGCTGGTGAGTCTGGAAACAATCTGGTTTTCCCTATCTTTTAAAATGTATTTCATTGTTTAATTTACTCTGGCTTTTTAACACTGTAGTTTACTCATTGGAGTGTAATCTATTTATTTACAAAAGAAAATAAATCATTTCATGTCCACACAAAGACATGAGGTTTATGTTTCAATAGCATCACTTTCCTGAAAGAGTATATTAAGCACAAAAGTGTTTGATGACAGCAGGGCAAGTACTATACATTTTTTCTTATCTGAAGGTATTCACACTTAACCTAAGAATTAGATAAATGAGGAAGTCTCATGTCTCCCGGGTATCCTATGCCATCCTGTCATCAGAATTAATCAAGATGATAATGAATACTCAGATTACAAAGAGATGGGAGTGCTCACGAGCAATAATTATTTTTAGAGATCGTAATCTAGGTCAAATCCAATTTCCTGTTTTTGACAGGTGGCAAAAATTTGTCAAATTAATGGAATGGGATATGGAAATTCAGGTAATCAGAGGGAAGTGCTTCCCCCTCCTGCCTGAAGCAGTGTTGGGGACAGAGAGGGAAGAGGTTCCCGTGCAGAGGAAGATCTTGGGGCATCCCAGTTGAAACCACTGCCTGTGCAGAAATGGCTGGAGATACCAGGTTGGTGTTCAAAGCCCAGCAAAGCTGATGGAAAGGTGTAGCCTGGCTTGGTCTGACTGAACTGGTGGCTGAGTTTTCACCCCACGCAGGTTTCATCTGCCCCAACTCTGGCCCCAGGACTTCCCTGAGAAGGAAGATGGAGAAAGTGAGCAGCCAAACGGCTGCAGAGGCATGACAAGGAAATCTGATGCTAAAATGGAGTTAAACCTGCAAAAGAAGGGAAGATAAATAACAGACTCCCTAAATATGTTCTTGGCAAACAAACAGAGCCCAGAGGGAATATGGTCATTGATAGATAAGAGTGGAAAGGGAGTGATAGATGAACTTTAATATTGCTGCAGGCCTAAATGATTTCTGTGCCTCAGGGGAAGGGGGTGGGAATGAAATTTTAAAAGGTTCTCTCTGATTGCACTGGAGCAGATAATAAGGAGCAGCAGATCTACTGAAACTAAGCAGAAGTAGCAGGCCCTCAAAGGTGCAGAGAAATGGGAAATATTTTTGAAAAACAACCAACCTCCCACTATAAACAAGGACAGGAGGAAGGCTTTATAGAAGACACTTTCTGAAAAGTCTAGGGCACACCAAGCAGAAGAGGAGAAACCTCAGAAAAGTAGGTGTGCAGGAGAACACAATTAGAGGATGTTGATGGGTGCAGGGGGGTTGATGAGCCACAATCAGCAGAGAGCTCTGGAAAGAAGATTGGGCTTAGCCTGATGATTTCCACAGGCAGGCACTTGCAGGAGATGCTGTGCACCACTTGGCTGGTGGCCTCAGCCCCACGGCGTGGCAGAGTCCCCATCCCACCTGCACAGTGGCTGCTCGTGCTTCTGGTACGGCATCACTGCGTGGGGATGCAGCATCATGGGTGCTCCTCCACCCTCTGCAAGAGCCGCCCAGCATCCAGCTGCATGAGACGCAGTCATGGTCTGGCATTAAATATTTATTTGGGCTTTTCTTGTTTTGCTTCTTTTTTGCAGGGAGGGGAAAAAAAAGGCAGCTTACTGAAAGCATGGACCATTTTGGGCTGTAAATGCCCTCAAAAACAGTCAGGCTGTGTTTGCTGAAGGATTGGTACCCAACGCTGAGCTCTGCAATGCTGTCAGCAGCTCCTTTGCTGCTGCCTTGGGGAGGTGCTGGATGCGGCACCTGCAGGGTGCTTGCAGCATTATTCTGGAAAAAGAGAAACTTCAAACCCTGCACCCCCAAATGTTTAAAAAAAATAAATGTATTAGCATTAGGACTGCCTCTTTAACAAAGGCCCTCAGGTGATAATAATTAACTGCTAATATTGGATAATAAAATCTACATAAAAATAACAAGCTACAGGGCAAGGTTAAGGTTATTATGTTGTGGTTGAGCACACAATTCTTCATACTTGGAATAAAGGCTTTGTTTGTTATGTAAGCAGGCTTGGAAAGGTTTATGATGTCCTTGACTATTCCTTCCCTGATTTAAGAGCTTCAATTTGGCAAATGATGACAGGAAAGTGCATGTTTATCTGTTAGCAGCCCCAACTGGCTTTGTGAAATGAGATTTTTGTTGTTGTTGTTTGGAATTTTTTAGCATAATCATGGAGAATTAGGCATTGAGCTTCCAATCGCATTAATGAGAGCTTTGAGGTTTAATCTCATCCATTCCGCTTGAAAGACACATTCTGCTATGCACTGAGATATGTTTTATGGTTATGGTTTTCTCCATGATATTTGCCCACCATGATAAATAAGGCAAGCTATTTTTCAAAAAATATCCATAAATAAAGAGGATTGGTTTGAGGTTTCAGAGAGAAATTCTTCCTCTTTTTAATGAGTCCTGCCCATCCTTGCCTTGTAAGTATGCAAACTGAGGAGGATAAGAACAGAGAGTGGCATGCACCACTTACTCATCTTTGCTCACTTATGATTCAGCAGTATATAAATTATCCCTAGAAAGAGGAAAAACACACGCAGAAGCATCGTAGTGAGAGCGCAGATTCCAAAGACCTTTGCAAGAGGCATTTAGCAAAGACAGTAATTGAACTTTAGTGTGGCTGCAGTAAGGCAATTGCAGAAAGATGTGTGCTATAAAAGCCTGGGATTGCCAGTAAAAGTGGAAGCAGCATGGTGGGTGAAAGTATGATAGCTGTGAAGAAATACAGTCTCTAATTTTAAGGAGGAGCAGGAGATGCTTTGTAGGACTCTATGGTGGGAATTCCAGCCTTACAAAGCCGATGCTATTGCAAACAGAGTGGGAGGTGAAACCAGGCTGTGACTGAAAACAACAGAGTTTCTTTAATGCTAGAAGTGATAGCATAATGAATCTGTGGGCACACAGACTTCATGGATGTCCCTGTCTTGCCCATCACAGCCACTGAAAACTGCCTGGATGTGTCTGAGAGCTAACAGCTCTCCTCAGCCTCAGAGGACCCAGATCCTGCTGTGGACTGCAGGAGGTTCTCTGCTGGAGAATCTCCAATGAGTGATACCAGGACTAATAAATTGTTAATTGTAAATAAGCAGGATCAACAAATCAATAACAGTTTTTGTTATATTCACTGCATAACTGCCAGTTTTAGGGAGCCTTTACTGTTGAGCTGGCCTAATGACCCAGAGGTCCCAGAGGAGCTAGTCTTTGCAAGTGTCACAAGCTTGTCACATAAAAAATACTAAGTGGTTCTAGGATGAGTCCTGTTACCTTAAAGTATCATATGTAGCAGCCTGAAGTCACTTGTAACTGCTTCAAAGACACCCAAATGTCATGGGTGTCCAAAAGCCATCTCTTCCTCTTTGCTCCTCAAAGTGCTTTAATATGTTTCAAGCTAGAGAAATACAGGAACCCACAAAGCCTGTTGCATGGCCACTTCATGACTTTTCTGTTGCTTCAGTTCTGGAAAAAAAGATGTGCCATCTTTTAGGCTTTCAATTTGTGAAGATTGCAAATTTTGTGGGAAGTCATGAGAGAGATGGAGCTGTCTCCTGAGGCTTAGCTTCCTGCCTCAGGACCATGCTGAGCTTTCACCAGTGGCTGAGACTGGGAAACAGTGACATTCACAGTCAGAAACAAGAAGGAAAAGTAATGCAGCTGAGCAAGGTTAAAGAGCTCTGATTTTAAGCTTCAGTCCCTTGAACATAGATTCAAACATCCGATACCATGGCTTTTCTCCGAACAGTGCATTTTTAAGCACAGGAACTCTACCACAGTATTATGTGGATGCTGAAAATCCACAAAATACTCAATACACCACTGAGTGATTAAAGGAAGAAAAATCTATGAAGGGTTACTAAATATGAATCCACCACTTCTGGTTCAGGAAGTCCTTGAGCCACAAGTTCCTGAAGGTGGAGAGGGTGGTGGGTAAGCACCACCATTCCTGCGCTTCCCTCTTTCCTGGGGTTGTGCTGCCGTCTCACACTGAGACAAGATGTGCAGCCAGACAGAGCATTGCTCTGACCCTTCCTATGCACTACAAAGAGATAACGACTGATCCCAAGCAGAATGATTAATATTTTCAAAGCCAGCAAGTAACAACATTGTTAAATCGTGGCTCCTCGCAGCTGCCAACTAAAATGCTTGACGAAAGGGTCCTGGTGGTCTTGGGAGGCTCTAGAGAAGCAGTGGGAGAGGGGACAATGAATCCTGCACACAGTAAGGCTCTTGTCCTCCCAGCACCTGATTATGCCTGCCCAAGAGGCACTGAACAAGATCTGAAAGAATGCGCTTTTCATATCCTTTTCTTTGTGACTGAGGCCCTGCTCTTAATGACAACCTTTTGCAAGTTGTTTGCAGTAGCACACTTATATACCATCCACTTTACTTTGAGTGAAGTTGACTCTGTAAGTAAAGAAGGAATAAAGATGAGAACCGAACTCTTATCTCTGCTCTGTATAATAGAGTAACACAGGGGTAAACCAGGGAAACAAGTGTGCGAAAATAATAGCAAAGTGAGTGATGTTTTGGGGTAGGTATTGAACATTGAGGAAGGCAAACTTAGATAAACAAAGGAATATGAGGTTAAATACTGATAATGCTTATTTGGCAAGAATAATGTTCTAAAGTATTAAATAGTGAAAGTTCAGAAACAAGAAATAATGCAGGCATTGGGGAGGTGACAGATGTGAAGGAATTATGCAAAGATCTGTGGCTACTGAAAAGAAGCTCTGGAGTGGCTACCAAGCAAGAATATGCAGAATCACTTGCAGTTTCCAGGCGAAATGCAAGGGCAGGAAGGCAGTGTAATGAGCTGATGGTAGACAAAGGGGCCAGAGGAACTAGCAAGACTTCTGCAAATATATCAAGATTTAAAAAAAATAATACTAGAGTGACAGTAGATTCCATTAATAAATGAGGAAGGGAAAGAAATTAATGACTTAAAAATGGCTGAGACACTCAACTCCTTTGTTAGATCTATCTTTAAGATGAAAAATGCATAAACGAAGTTTGAATAATTAGTAAGGGGTGAAGACACTGTTGGAATCACTACTGATAAAGACCTGTTAATAAAGAACTCGGAAAATGCAAACAAAGAGAAACTTGACAGAAATTCAGTGAATTAGCTAATCCATTTGAAGAACCCAGGTAATTTCCAGAGGAAAAAATAATCATGGGTAATAAGGAATATAGCTAATGGGCAGAGCAACTGGCCCAGCAAACCTAAATCCCAGCAGGATAACTGGACAAAAGTACAAAGAGAAGGAAGAAGGACTATTGAATGCAGTGGTTCTCACAGCATCCCTTGAATTTGCAGATAAACTTTTTGTGACTTTGTTTCCTGAAGGATAAAAGAGCCCTGAGCAGTGAGATGGATGATTTCTAAAAATATATGTTTTGCTGAGCAGTCTTTTTCAAGCAAAATCTGGCCTGATTTATGGTTAAAGGGACAGGTTGGGCCATGCAGTTAGGAAGCAAAATCCTTTGCTAAAATGTTTTGAGGTAGGCACTAATATTTGGGTTTGCTCTGTATCATATCTTGTACACAGCCGGTGTTACACAAATAACAGGTACCTGTCTGTAGGCAGCATCAATCTTTCGGAGGAATACCTTACATATTAATATTTATATCTCTAAGTCAATAATAACAGTTGTGATTGCCTCACGATTATACATAATACATATGTTTACATAATTAATAACAGCATTAGAAAACATTCACCTTTTTACTGAATGATGAACAGATTGATTTTGTGTTTACATAGATTATTATTTCTCCTTCTAAACAAAAGTGTGTGTAGTCTGGATGGATGTCAACCCAGACCCACCTCACTAGTTTTCCTGGGAATTTGGGAGTTAGTTAAGACTGCAGCATGGCACCAGTAGAGAAACACACAGTGCTAAATGGAAGATGTTATATTACCACTTCTGTTTCCTTCAAGATAGGTCCCGTTCCTCGTTGGGCTGGAGGTCTGATGCCGCAGGCCAGTAGACATGGATCCCCCTGAAGACATCTGGGGAGGACGATGGCTACAGGAGGAAGAGGAGCCTCCAGCAGGACGTCCATCTGCAGGACTCTGCCGTGTGGCATACATGGAGCCCATGCAACCAAAGGCAGAATCGTCAGGATCCACACTGTACCGCTTCATGTTGGCAGGATCAGCCAGGTAGTCCTCAGGTACGACCGTTTCTGCTCAGGAAGACAGTAGCCAAACATCAGTAAAACAGAACCAATTTTAATTCAGCCCTTGAAAAAAAGACATACATATCTATATATTGCCAAGATTCCACTTTTTTGGCAAAAAATTTAACTCCCTTTCTAACTTTCTGTACAGACAGCTGGCTCAAGGAGGGATCCTTGCTGAGAATTAATAAATAATGAAGGGAAGCATAACCACTCAGGAGTCAGTAGAGTCACAACAGGGAAACTATGGCTCGATGTGACTCATCTGTGTCAGTTTACAGCAATATTCTCTGCAAAGTCCTGGGTCACTGACTGGCAGGTCCCATTTGCCTCATGGTGCTCCCCAGATACCACTGAGACTTGAGGATTCTGCAGCTATTGCTTGCTCTGTCTTTCATTTAAAAACACAAAAGCTGAAAGGAAGAAGGCAGAGGAGGACCACAGGACAGGCAGTTTGTTGGGTTTGTAATGCCTGGCAGCCTGCAGGAGGGAGTGAAGGCAATAGACCAAAGCATTCTGGCTGCAATTACCAAAATTAATCAGAAAATATCCTCAGCTGCAGACAACCATCAGGCCTGATATCCCACAAGGAGAAGAGGTTTGATGACTGACGAGCATGCCGAAGGTTTATGACGGGCAGAGATGTATGACTGAGTCACTCGGACCCACCTCATGTTCAGACATGCACACTGGCATCATGGACAACTGCAAACCATTGCCCTGGTTCCTCTCCTCTGCATGGCACTTTGCAAACCATGTAAGGGGGGTGGATATAGCATTTTGCACTTACAGATGTATTTTAGAGACCTATGTTCTCCTTTGCTTGGGAATCAAATGCACAAGCACAAGGCCAATCTAGCCCCAGGTTTTGTAGTACACAGGCTTTTTTGCCTGTTCCCCTCAGAGTGGGGTCCAGGTCCCTCTCTCCCTGTCCTTTCCCACAGTCTCTCTGTCTGTCTCATTTTCCTCCCCTGGCCAGTCCCAGTCTCCTCCTCAGAGGATTCAATGTCCAAGCTCCTTCCTACTTGCCCTTTTTGTCTTCACAAAACATAGTCAAAGCTCTTCCTCCTCCTCATTCCCACCACTGTTGTCCCTGCAAAATCAGTCCTCTCATCACCCAGCCCCAGGACCTTCTCCTCCAACACCACCACCATCACTACCACCACTGGCATACAAGCAGATCCTTGGAAACCTCTCTGAGATCCAAACCTTCACATAACCCCTAAAAATACTGGCAACTTGTGCTTCAGAGATTCCTACACTTGCTGGGTGAAGCAAGATGTTAACATCTGGCAGACAGGGAGCCCTCAGATTAGGAAAGTGCCTCTTTTTTCAGCTGAGACATCTGAGCAGGGTGAAATTACCTCCATGGTGTCACACATTTCCTTCGCTGCCTGAGCAACACTCTCGTTCTGACGTATTGTGTAGCCTTATTGAGTAATGAGAAGAATTTATGCTGTAATTCATGCTGCAAGAGCCAAACCCCATTGGTAATAGATGTTGAGGCTGTATATAATAGGGTTTTCCTTTCAATTTACATTTTTACTCTTTTCCTTTGGAAAAAAAACCAACAAACAAACCCTGGCAGCTGTGTACAGTAGTTGATGTTAAACAAACGTGACTTAGTTTGACAACTCAAATACTCAGGAGTTGTGCCATGCCAACCTCCTGGCTCACATGTCAAGCCACAGCACAGATTTTTGTTAGATGATTGCCTGACTTTTCATTTTCTTGCTGCTGTCTGTTAAAACTTTTTCCCATTCTGAGCCAACACTGGACTCACCATAATGCAAACATCAGATCCAAAGAGCAGCTGTAAATGTGAAGTTTCCTTGCTTTGGGGCACTTGCCTTTGCAACTGCAAATATAACTTCCCTATAGCAAAGTTTTTTCCCTTAGATAATTTGAATTCTTACAGCATGCATTCAGGTATCCTGCTGCTTTGTGCCAGAGATTTCTGAGCTTGATTCTCACACAAATTACAGGTAAGGTGTAATTCCATTTAATTCAACGGAGTTCACCTAATGTAACACAGGCATAAGAGAAATGGGAATCAGACACTCTGAACCTTTCTCCCTAACTTCCAACAGATGCCAAAACTGTATAGCAATTGAGCTAAATACCTTGCTTTTCAGACTCCTCCCAATAAACCAAAGAAAATCCAATCAAGCCTCCTCATTCAAAGGAATTTAATTACTGTGTAGAACACTTGCAATAAAAGCCTCTTATGCAGAAAGTAGACAGCTCTTTCTGCAGCATCCTGCCTTCACTGCATGGAATAATTATGCCTCTTGTGAATCAGTACCTCTTTATTCCAGGAAAAGAACACTCTTTTAATATGATTACAATATGAAGAAGACACAGACTATCACAACAGCAAACAGCACATTAAAAGAGCCCTGCTAAATAAATGCCATATAGCTTTTATTACTATGGATATAAAAGACTCCAGAATTTGTGAACAGACATCAGGGGTTGTTTGACCTCTGTCAGACTCTCTCAGTAATCTGTGTGAAACAAGACATGTGCAGGTGAAATCTCCCCATGGAAGGACCAACCATGAGTTGTGTACAAGACCATGATGAGGAGCCAGACACAGTCAGTGCTGTTCCTGACCCCCCCTAAGACGCTTTTCTTGCTCTACAACAATTTATTCCACATGTCTCTGCTTTAGGCTCCAAAATTGGAGTAAGGATGCCTATTGCCGTGGAACAAGCAAGAGCCTCCAATCACTACTGTTTGAAACATGCCCCAGTGGAAGGTGCTCTGGGAATTTGAAAAGTCATATTCATGTCTTCATTGACAGCGGGGAGCAGGGATCATCCCAAGCATGCCTGAGGCCTGGAGCACTTGCTCTGTGAGGAGAGGCTGGGGGAACAGGGCTTGTTCAGCTTGGGGGAGAGGCAGCTTAGGGCTAGAAACCTCTCAGCAGCCCCACAGGATCCATGGGGAGGTCACCAAGAAGATAGAACCAGTGTCTGTTCACAGTGATGCATGGCAGGAGAACAAGAGACAACAGGCAAAAATTGAAATGAAAGCTTCAGGTGGGTGTAAGGAGAAACCTTTTCCCCATGAGGACAGTGGGGCAGTGGCAGATGTTGCCCAGAGAGGCCATGCAGGCTCTGGCACTGCAGGTTTTCCAGACGCATCTGGACAAAGCCCTGAGCAACCTGGTCTGACCCCATGGCTGACCCTGCTATGGACAAGGGGTTGGACCGGAGACCTCCTGGGGTCCCTTCCCACCTGAATTGTCCTCTGATCCTATGGTTGATGTCTTCTCCATCCTGAGAAGCAGCTGCAGATGGTGAGGAGGGCCATGGTGAGGGCTTATGTGAGGGGTCCAGGGCCCCTTACAGTGGCACGGGAGGCAGACGGAGGGACAGGCTCCACTGTCCAGAAGCTGTCATAGATGGTGGAAGCTTTCTGTGTTCATATTTCTCCATCTTCCTGTTACCTTGTATCGCAGAGAAGCTGCGCAAGTTCAGGCTCAACCAATCGTGGATGAAAATATCTGCATTTTGAAAGCTCCCAGAAGACCTTGTAAAATGCATGGCTTTCACAGCTACTAATCCCACTTTGACCAATTAGGGAAAAACATATTTGCTAAGACAATTGAAAAAAATATAACTCTCTATTGAGGTTTAAAATGCAACAGTTTCATAAATCTCTAGCTTAGCCCTTCTGTATTCTGTCACACTTCTGTATTTTATTTTCCAGGTAGCCTGCAGAATGGTATATACCACTGAAAAATTAGTTTACAATGTTTTAAAGCAGGATTTCTGAGAAAGCTGCTTCAAGTCTTTGCTTTGAGCACAGCAGTCTCCATTACAACTGTTCAAAATGTGCTCAAGCCATTTTGTCAGTCTTCCTTTCCAGAATGGTCCACAGGCAACTGGATTGAAAAGCCTAAGGCTGTTACATCCAGCACACCTGAAAATGCAACAAAGGAGAAGAGGAAAAAAACTCCAACCAACTGCTTTCCCAATTTAAAAATGCACATTTCTTTAACTGAGTTTCTTTAAAGTAGCAGCCTGTATAGTTCCCAACCAAATTCCTGAAGATGGGTCAGCTGTCAGAACAGTATGAGAACGTGCAGCTCACATCCCAGCTCTGCTTCAGCCCTCTGGTGTGACCTTGGTCGGGTTATCCCACATCTCTGGACCCCAGTCCTCCATTAGGATGAAGAAAAATACTTGGCTTTGTCTCTCACCTCTGCAATATGTTAAAGTCTTTGCCTCGGTCCTATCTGTATGCCACTACAGAGTGCCACAGGGATGTATACTGCATGTGTGAACGCAGCACAGATACAGAAGATCTTTGGTAGTGTCTGGGAACAGACACTCCAGAAAGGCAAAAAAATTATGCTGCTCATTGCTCATTAGGAAAGCAAATGAAAATCAATTTCGAGTCAAGCAGGAAACGAAGAAGAGTGTACACACAGGAAAGACGATCCTTAGCGTGTTTTCCTGAGCAGATCTAATATCTCCCCTTTTCTTCTTTATCTTAAAAAAACCCCAAACAAAAATGCTAAAATCTCTTCTGTAGGTAAAAACTCTTTCTGCACTCCAGAGACACTCTGTACCCTTCTCTTCTCTCCTCCCAGCCCAAACACGTCTTGTGCTGCTTTCCTTACCTGCAGCTGCTCCCACATCCCTTCTTGTGCTACATCCCTCTCTCCCTTTACCTGTCTCAGGCGCCTTTCTCTTATATCCTCCACCATCTCCTTTGTTCTTCCCATCATCTCTTCCTACTGCTTCTCCAATTGTAGTCATGCCATCTTGACCTTTCTCTAACGCTGCTTTCCCACACCCTTTTCCCATTTTCCCAGCTATTTTCCTATCCTCCTTTTCTATTTTTTCTCCTCCTGCACTGCTGACCTGCATAGCCATTTCTTCCTGAGGCTGTTCCCCTTCCATCCATCTCACACTATCATTCCTCCAGCTTTCCTTTTCCTGGTAGCTCCCTCCATGCTTTTCTCTGCATTCATTCCCAGATCACTGTTGTCAGCAGAGATGGAGATCAGGGCAGTGAACTGGGACCAAGGTCCCCATTCCCAGTTAACAGACCACGTCCTGCACAGCCATGGAGTGGTGGCATCCAGGTGAAGGTTGCACAGGGCACTGATGGAAACCTGCACCCCCACCTCTGAGCACACCGGACACTGATCCCCAAACCAGGGAGGTCCTCTTTTACACACCAGTACCTTCCCAGGACAACTGCCCGTCCTTCTAGGCCACTACTTTTGTGTCATTTCATAACCTTTTACTCCACCACCTGCAATGCTCGATCATTTGCATTTGCTTTAATCAAATTCCCCATTAACTTTTTTCCTCACAATCAATATAGATTTTTTCTTTCTTTCTTTTCTCTGCCCCCACTCTTCCTTTTTTGTGTTGTCTCCTATTCCTCATATCATTTAGTGATGGGCTTTGCCCTCTGACCTTTCCCTGTACCTTTTTAAGTGCTACCATATATTTTCTATAATGGGTTGACCAGATGTGAACTCCATATTTTAAGTGGCATGATATCATAGCTTCCTCAGACCTCTCCTCTCCCCCAGTCACGGTCAGCTTTTTCTCATCTCCCAGTCATTTTGAGAGGAGCCAGCCACACTGTCAAAAATCCCATCAAGAGACTCTTTGTATGGTTTTATCTTCGCCTGTATTTTTCAGTTCCTGAGCTTGGCTCCAGCTCCCCACACAAGGATGGCATTTGCCCTATCTGGGAGGCAGTGGGGGGGAGTGGGAGGGGACAGTTTCAGGCAGCTCTGAAGGTTAGAAACCCTCCATCTCAGCTTTCATGGCAGAAAAATAATAGCTGGGAAACACAAAAAGCAAATGTAGAAATACTGATTTTCACCATCAATTCAATCTAGTGTAAGCCAGAGAGAGAGAGAAAGCAGAGACACCTAAATAGTATTTAAGAGTGTGAAAGATATACCTTGGTCCTGAACCACTATCTTCTGCTTTAACATCAGCTCTTTAAAGATTAAAAAATAACTTTTTCTGTGTCTGCCAAAGAGCCTCACACATTTCTGTCCAGTCAGAAACAGACCCTGGACCTTATCTTTCTTGTAGCTGGAGCCTGCATGCACCTATCTAGAGATAAGAGCTTGCTATGATGGATTAAGACTTTCCAGCTCTGCCTGCTGTGATTTACTCTGGGATTACAGCACCAGCCCATTCCTTTTAGCTCCATTGCCCATCCAGACATGCAACACAATGAAAATATGATGTCACCCCTTAGCAGGCATTTCCACAGCATCTCAGCACCACTCTCTGGTGCATGCATCTGTACCCCACATGTCTGGGCAAGGACTTGACCTTTTTCCACACCAGCCTGTGGCTGCCACGGTTTGGCTGGGTAAGGAAAGTGTTACAGGGAATAATGTTGGGTTTGTGGCAGCGAAGCTGAGCCTGGCATGGAAATGCATTCCCCAGGAGCCACAGCATCCCTGAGGCTGCTGCAGAGAGGCAGCGAGCAAGCAGGCAGCCCAGGGCAGCCACTGACAGCAGTTCAGGGCTGTCACGCCTGCGTGTTTCTGTCTACGGGATAACTTTTGTGTGGGTTACAGGAACACACAACTGCATCCTTGGGGAAGGAAAAAAAAGGGGGTACCAGTCAGTCAGAACACGGAAATGTAAATAAGCCTCATCCGCCTGCAAGTGTGGATATTACGACCACTGAAACCATGGTCACACTGCAGAGATAAAGCCTGCAGTGAATTCTCCAGGGTTTAGTCTGAGGCTTTACTGCACCATGTATCATCTCGCTGTGTCCTAGCTGCTAAAAAATATTTTGTGGTAACTGGAGTGCCGAATTTCCCAAGGAGAAGCTGCCAGTCAGTTAACATCGAGAATCTAAATTTTTTAGAGAATTTTCCAAAATCCAGTGCTGTCCTGATTACAAGGACTTCAGCATACACAATTTTTTTTCCTTATTTAAACAATTTCCCCTGAGTGTTTGCAGCCAAGACAACAGCCACATTGTGTTTAATGCAGTATAACCAGGGAATGAAACTGGCTGGGAACAGATCAACACAGTTTTATTGTCCAAACTGAGTAAAAAGGTAGAGTAAATTCACAAGCTAGCTGCTGGCAAATAAATTAGATGTAATAATAAAAGGTGCTCGTGTGTATAAATAACCCATCGAGGACTTTTTTTTTTTTTTAAAGTGCTTGGGGATGATTGTTATATTTTTTTGTGCTACAATGGAAATGTTTTAGTCCTGTCTTACAGTGTAGGCAAATTATTTAGGCACTGCGTACCCACAAGTGAAGGTGAAGGGATTTCAATGACACAGGGATCCGGCCTTTAGAAAACGTCTTCCTTTGGTCTTTTCCACCTGATTTCAGACGTGCTCCTCCACTCTTTTCCCTTCTCCCTTTGCCTTTATGTTATACCAATGTGTACATTATGAAAAGGAGATTTATTGGGGTTGTATAGTTTTGTGTCTTAGCACAACAATGGTTCTGCACTGGCAGAGGGAGATGGGAGAAGCTGCATTTGATCTTTTCTGTCCCTGGCTTCTAGCAGTACCGAGAGGGGCTTTTCTATGCACGTAGTTTATAATGTACTCTGTGTGCTTATAAATCAGCACTGAGAAAAGTTACAAAAAGCTGTATATAAAATAGACTAGATGAAAATGACTGTATTATTTGGAAATGGCAAGGTGTTATATACTGGCATTCTCTGCAGCTGAAGTACTTAGTGCATTTCTGTTCTGCTACCAGCATGATGAATCTCCCTGAATTATACTGCTCTGTACCAGCTTAAAATATTTAACAGCATTTTAAAAAAAAAAACACCAAAAACTTGAGACACCTGAAGTGAGATGTCCAGAGCAAAGTGCAAAATAAGTAACTGCAAAATAAGCCGCATTTGCCCATTAATAACTAATAATCTCATCCAGAAATTAGGTAGAGCATATATAAAGCATGAGCCTGTGCATGTGTTTATGTGTAGGTATAACATCTTTTATAAAGTCTTTGCTTCATTTCTCCCTGCCCAGTGCTGCAGCTCAGCTGGACTTTCTGATATTTCTTCTGAGGTTTCTTCTTGCCATGTAAACACAACATAGCTGAGCCCTAAAGCCTGCGTTCCCCTTCACAAATCCTTTCTTTTTCCTGTCTTCTCTGCTGCTGCATCTGATATTCCTGGCCCATCTCAGTCTCAGTAGTGAGGAACTCACCAATTTTACTTTCTTGGGTCTTTTTATTCCCTCCTCTCCCTGTGATCTCACAAAGCCCATTTCCCTTCACAGTGGTGTATGGCACTGTTTCATGCTGTCGGGAAGCTGGGCTTGTCCTGAGATCCCATCCCAGGACTCACTCTCAGCCTCACTACACTTTCCTTAACTGGCTCCTCTGCTGAAGTCGAGCAAGCCACTGCCATCTTTTTGTTTAAATCACTTCTGTGACCTTACTTCTTCCGTGAAGAAACCCACCATAAAGTACCTGATTCCCCAAACCTCCCTTTGCAGCTTATTTTCAGTGAGAGGTGGAGACGTATTTCTCTTGCCCAGCTGCTGGTGGTGCAACTTCTTGCCCTGCACCCTTATCTTTCTCATTGCTGCCTATTGCCAGCACCATCCCAGCACAAACACCAAATGGCACATCATTGCTGACAGTTTGCTTCCTTTACTCTCTTAATTGCTTTAATCTCCTGCTCTGCACTCATTTTGCCAGCAAATGAATGTTCTTCAGGCAGATGCTGTGTGTTACTACTTTCCAATACGCATTTTGATGTACACTGTATAATTACCATGAATGAATAGATCCTAAGAAGCTGGGAGCACCACTGATAAACCAGGGCCAGGACTTTTCCAAGAAAAAGATGCATGTTTTCTTTCCATGGAACTGGAAATGCCATTGTGTGTGAGTTTCCATTTATTTGGTGAAGAAATGGAAAAAGGATAGAGAGAAACAGAAGGTAGATAAAGACAGATAAAGGAGAAAGAGCCTTTCAATCTTTTCATCTAAAAGGCTAAAAAAGAGAGTAACACGGACAAGGAGAAAAAGTGAGCTGAAAAACTGAAGAACATCCAAACAAAAATCAGTAGCCTCTCTGAAAAAAAATCTGAATCTGTTTTGAAATGGAAACAGCTTTAACACAAGGCTCCCTTTTCCTTGCTTTCAGCTGAATCTGCTTTCTCCCATGGAGGTGCAAGCCCAGGCCCTGCCATAGGCACCACATACAGGGCAGCCCCAGAAGCAAGGGGATCTGCAATATGGCAATGTCCCCAAGCCTTCTCATCCAGACTCACAAAACACGAGCGAGTTGTTCATCTCTCTTCCAAAACATTTCCTGTTTTGTCTTTTACTTAGCAAGTGCTGGCTTTGGTAACTCTCATAGCCCCCTCCACTGCCATAGCCAGTCTTTCTATTCCCCTGGATCACAGGTATTCGTATCAATACTTAACAACTATAGGAATGGAAGTTCCTGTTTCAACTTTCATTTAAGCTGTTTAAAATCAAAGCCTGGACTTCTAACTTCAGACTTTTCCTAAAGGAATCATACAGTTCTACAGAAAAAATCTCTACCAGCTAAAACAAAGTTAAAAATAAAACTGAACCTGAAAGAGAGCTACAATCACATAATTTACTTGACCTGGCCTCTGAAAGGGTGTCTATGCTTCCACCACATGACTGAGCATGTAAAACTTGAATTAAATGCTTGTAGCCAGGGGTATTTTCTTTTCTGTAGCTGATCTGATATCATCTATCATGCTTCCTGCATTTATGCCCATCATTCCATCCACTTTCCTTATGCATACCCTTTGATATGGAAAGAAAAGAGTCGTCTTCTGCTTTCTTTAAGCTCCATTTCATAGCCTATCTCCTCTCTTCTAACCTCCACATCTGCTGCCCAGGCAATCTCCAGCACCGTC